TTGAAATGGTAGGTACATGAAAAACAAATAACATTACTGAAAAATAATATAGTTATAATTTCTTCTACGCATGGTCAATATTACATATATCCTTTTAATAATAATTAATCATAACTAACTTTTTCTAATTATCAGTTCGTCATTGTTACCATATTCATGATGGTCTCAACATTAGAAAATTTCCATTTCAGAAGCGTATTTGAACTATATAAAATGTGTAGCTTTTTTTTAATGCTTCTGATATTGTTTTGTGATATTTTTATTTGTACGATGAATGGCAAAATTCGTAATCCATATTAGAAACTTTTTTCAGTGGCTTCTCAAAAAGAAAGAAATTCTTAGTAAAAGTTGCCGCATCCCCAAACTAGAAGAGCATATTTATTTTTTTTAATATACAATGTAACTTTTTTTAGTTCGAATTAAGTCATTCACAATACAAATAAAAATATCACAAAGGAGTTTTAGAGATATTTAAAAAAATACACTATTTATACTATTTCAAAAACGCTTTTGAAATGAAAATGATTTAAAGTTGAAAGCATTATGAGAACAATATGGTAATAAAATTATTATGTTACTCAAACATTTCTGAAAATATACTGAAACGTAAAACAAAAATATCGAGGGCATAAATGGAACATAAAACTTGGGCTTCTAGAACGCTACCAGAAGGTTGCATGGATTTTTTATGAAACGTTTAAAGAAAAATGGAAACGTTTCTGAAACATGTCAGAAACTGAAAAATGTTTAGTGGGAAATTTAACTGTGCGAGAATTGTAACGAATTTCAAATATAGCTAACTGCTTTGTCGAAAATAGGGACAAGTAGTGTTGAAATTAAAAAGGGTGTCGAATTTAAGACCCGGACTGTCAAAATTACCCATGTCATTCAAATATTGAAGTGAATTTTTTATTCAGTTGAGGTTTATTTTTTTTAATAAATCAGAAATATATTTTTCTATTAATTCACCACTTTTATCTAAACAATATTGATTTTAAGAAAAAATAATTACAAAAGCAGTACTTCAGGATTTTACAACAAATATGACATTCCTTTGCTTAAACTGTTGAATGCATATCCACTTACCTTAAATAGATATAGTCAAAACTCTTTTTCTTTCTGTATGTATTTCGTCTCTGAAGTGTTCAAATATCAAGACACTATACTTACCCAGTTTATTACTAATATTTTGCTACAGTTCTCACACTAGAATTGTAAATTTTTTTAATTATAACTTTTTATTCATTTGTTAATTACAGTTTTTAGTTAGTGTTAGTAAGTAGGTATACAGGGAATAACTAATATGGTTTCACAAACGTTTTCTGAGGTACAGAGTGACAAAACTTGAAATAAAAAATATTTTCCATTTTTAACCACAAAAATCAATAAACGATTGAAGTAATTTTATTAAAACTTAGATTTTAATTGTTAATAAAGAACAATGTTAAAAAACATACAATTTTAAACCATCAAAGGAATAGTATGAAACGAGTATTGTTATTCTAATTTTGGGGTGTTGAATATGAATATAATATTTATTTTTCCCGAAAACGACGGAAACACAGTCAAAACAACCCCTGTATGGAGGCGAAAACAGAATTTATAATTAAATATAAAAAAAATTTCACAGCTACACAAAAAAATTGACTTTCGGGACCAGAGGTCAGACCATGTTTATTATACGTTTTTTGAGTCGCTGAATCGGAATCCATTTAACCCCCTCACCTCGGGATATTTCGTAACCTCAAAAAACCGTAATATTCTGGACAATTAAACCATATACCCTTAAGACTCAAGTTTCCAGCGCTAAATCCAATTAACTAAATCTCATAAACATTTAACCCAATGATATCCTAACCTGATAAGCACATGAACCCGAAACCCAATAACCCTATAACCCCATAACCTGTATTACAAAACATCACATATCCAAGAACTCCTTGAAAACCCAAGTACTCAAACTCAAAAAATTCCCATTACCCTATAACCCCATAATCTAGTAACTTCATAACCCTATAACCCCATAATCTCGTAACTTCATAACCCCATAACCCCATAAGTAATAAATCATAGCCAATCTGTATTATAGCTAAACATTAACGTGGTTGAGGATTTCTTAAAAACCTATGCAGTCAAGTCATTCTAGTACCTAATATAATTTTTTGGGTTATCTACTGTTATCCTTTTGATTTTCATTTCATTTAATCTAGTCAAGAGAGATCATTCATTTATTTATTTTTAGTTTTATTAATTAATTTATGTACGGTCTATCCTACAAATTATTATTTTTTTCACCTCTTTCAACTCCTATGAGAGCTATATGATGTACGAAATCCGATCGCGCAACCACCTCGTGATGTACATCGGGTACTGCTAATGCCGACGGTCCTACCTATTAAAGTTATAAAAAAAACTAAATCGACACTTGGTTCTTTGGTGAATGAGATCAAAATACAAGGTAATGAAGTTGTGGTTAGGGAATCGTGGGGTTATGAATTTTAGGGTCATGGAGGTTTTGGGGTTTGAGTGCGTGCATATGTTTTTAAGAAATCCTCAACCACGTTAACGTTTAGCCATAATACAGATTGCCTATGATTTATTAGTTATGGGGTTATGAAGTTACGGGGTTATGAGGTCATAGGGTTATGGGAATTTTTTGGGTTTGAGTACTTGGGTTTTCAAGGAGTCCTCAGCTATGTGATGTTTTGCAATGATATATGTATATTGTCTATGATTTATTCCCTTGGTTATGTGCTTATAGGGTTATTAGGGTTTTGGTTCATGGACTCATTAGGTTAGGATATCATTGGGTTAAATGTTTATGGGATTTGGTTAATTGGATTAATTAATTAATTAGCGTTGGAAGCTTGTATCTTATGGTTAATATGGTTTAATTGTTCAGAATGTCGTTTTTTTTGAGGTTATGAAAAATCCTGAGATGATGGGGTTAAATGGACCTCGGATTCTGATTCAGCGATCCAAAAAACGTATAATAAACATGGTCTGACCTCTGGGCCCAAATGTCGATTTTTTGTGTGGTTAAACTATTTTGTAAAATATAATATGCTTTGTTGGGCAACTTAAATTAGACGGTACAAATAATACCATTTTAAATCAACCCCTCCCACTCTTTCAGCTTCTTATGGGGGTGAAAACAACTATTGTAGGCATAAAATCCAATTTCCTTCAAAAAAATTCTTTAGCGGTTATGAAAGTAGTTCAAATGAGAAAAAGGTGCCTTACTACATAATGTCCTCATTTTTTTTTTTCTGTTAATGTTCATAAGGAGAAGAAGCTGCCTGATGAAACAATCCCAAGTAAAATGTGGAAATAAAAACATATCTTTGTAGCAGCTGTTATTTACGCAATCAAAGATAAAAGCAAGAATATAGGATGTTTCTTTGAATGATTGCATTATTTGAGAATGTAAATATATTAGGAATGTGTTTTTCCATTAATTATTTAAATATTTTAAATAATTATTTGTTACTAACTGTTTACTGAATATTAGCATGGTTAATTCAATGCCAGATGGGGCGTGTAACTGGAGAACTTGCTTCCCGCAGTATCAGCAGTTAGCAATCTTTTCTGTGAGGTTGAATATCATTTGCATACCTCTATATTGTCTGGTGTCAAAGAACATTGACTTCATTTTTCATGTAGTTTTTTTTTAGATTTCCAAATTTATAGATAATACAATATTACAAAAATACAATTTAATAAATAAAACGATAAGGAGTACATTTGACCCAGAAAAAACATAAAAAGTTGGTAATTTAGATCATGCAAGGAAGGTTTTATAAAAGGATACTTCATTGATTAAATACAAATTAATCATGTAATTTATTATATTTAAATAATATATTTAAACAATGTAATTAAATATATAACCAATTAATAATATATACGGTGTTCCTAAAATATTGTGGGAAATTGAAGCAGGAGTCAAAAGAAGGGAAATGTTAAGCAAAATGTTTTGTATGAAGATGGATCCGAAAATATTTACTAAAAAAGTTACAGGATCATAAATGAACTCTGCCAAAAACATGTTTCTTATTAAATAACTCCAAAATGGAAGATTGGATTTGGTATAGAGTTTTAGAATATCCATTGAAATAATCTCATGGGTGTATTTTTTTTGTTATTCGCCCTAGCCAAATTTTATTATTATCTGAACAATCGCCTTGGTTTTATTTAAAGGTTTTATTTAAAAAAATGTGTTTTTGGTAGTACGCGTTTATTATTCTGTAATATGTTTACTAAGCACTTTCGGACCTATTATTTTAAAATACCTATCTCCTTGTTTCAGGTTGACACCATATTTTAAAAACACTTGTTATAATAATTCTAGAAACTAAAGTTTTGTTTCTAATCGAGGTTTACAATGTTTTGCTTTTTCTCTCAAAATTCTTCTTAATATTTTTCCGCTTGGATTTTTTGGTATCTCTGAAATGAAAATTACTCCTCCTCTTAGATGCTTTTGAGGCGACAATAGACCTGAAACAATTTAAAATATGTACATTTATGTTGTTTGCAATTTTCGTTTATTCACTAAATTTTAATATAAACGAACTCATCACAAACTATTATTCACAAACGGTGACCAAAAATGAAACCTCTTATTCTTTGGTGAATTTTAAGGTGAGTCTTTCGTATAAAGTTTTTATCTAGGGCGCTTCGTTATAAAGATGTTAATGATGTTAAATTTAAAAATATTTTTAATTTTTTTAAATAATTTAAAAACTAGTAAGTGAAATAATTTGAAACTGGGCACAAGTATGTATTTAAACATTGTCCAAAATCTGAGGCATATTTTTCTAAATAAAATAGTACACCACTGCTTTACGGTAACAATCATGATATTTGGATTCGTCTTTCAATTTTCTACAAATTACTACTCTCTTATGTTTTTCGAAAACAATCTGATTTTCAAATAAAACTTAAAAACAAACGAACACTTTTACTCAAATGACATGACAGATACTAATCCTTTGGCTATTTATTCAAATAAAGAAATTAATAACATTAGCCATCATTTTAATGATTTTATTTGTAAATGATCAAAAATACCTCCATTTCCACGAATACAGCCGAGTTTTAGTAACGAAAATGTTATTTGTTCGAAATTTGTTGTTGCTTGATTCTGATGAAAAGTATTATTTATTCTTTCTTCTAACTTCTAGAATGTCAAAGTTGCTATCGCAGCCTATGTAATTTTAAACCGCATTTTATTCGAATATCGAAGTGCTTTTAGTTCGTTTTTCAAGTTTTACTCGAAAGTTACGTTTTTTTCGAGTAGTAGGTAATTTGTAGAAAATTGAAAGTCGAATCCAAAAATATCATGATTGTTACCGTAAAGCTACGGCATACTATTTTATTTTAAAAAATATGCCACAGATACCCTGTATTTCCGCAACTGGAAACGGCCTCAGATTTTGGACAGTGTTTCATAAATACATATGATCCATTTCAAATTATTTCACTTACTAGTTTTTAAATTATTTAAAATAATAAAAAATATTTTTTTAAGTTTGACACCCTGTATCTTTTTAACGAAACATCCTAGATAAAAACTTTATACGAAAGACTCCACTTAAAATTCACCAAAGAATACGAGGTTTCATTTTTGGTCACCGTTTGTGAATCACCCTGTATACAAATTAATTATTAGTGAATACATTAACAACAAATTTTTTCGTCATTATTATATCATTGTAATTTGATATTTGGATTTTATTGTGTATAGTAATTCTGATTTTATAAACAACAATGTAAAAGAGCTGTTACTTACTGGCAACATACAACTGCAATTCTTTTTCAGTCGCACTAACTCCATCATGCAAAACTACAAATGCCAAAGGCAGTTCCCCTGATAGTTCATCTGGAAGACCAACTACACCTACATCTCGAACTTTTGGGTGTTTCAGTAATATGGCTTCTAATTCGGCTGGAGCCACCTAAAAGAATATAATATATTTTTAGAAACAATCCAGGTACCATATGAACGTTTTTTTTTTAAATTATATTACTTTAGTAATTTTTATTTCGTTTACAGATTTTAAGTTAATTCAAACTATTATCCTAAAGCAAAGGTATTCCCAAAATTTTCATCAAATGAATTATAGCAATGCTAAAGAACCCATTAATAATTATTTGAAATAAAAATATAAAATAATAATCAATCTGGATAGAACTAATGAAAAACCATATACTTTAATACAGGGTGGCCAAATGAAAACGAAACAGAGCCATTTTCAGGAACTGCGTCAAGATTGTAGAAAAACGCTCAGACCCGTCGATTTTAGATTAAAGGGGGACATTCTTTACTGGTATTTTTGACTCCGCCACTTTCACCCCCAAGCAAGGGTAAACATCACCCCAAAATATTTAAATGGCATTGGAGGTTGAATAATATTTCTTTTGAAAGCTCTTACAATTCTCTTTACACAAGACTTTAAATTTTATAATTCCTCCAAATACTTTGAAAAAAATTTACATTTTAAAATTTAAATTATGTTTAGTTGCTTACTTACAACTTAGTTGATTAAATATTGAAACTGATGACCGTCCGCTTCCATACAAGAATAAAGATTGTGTTCGAAACGTTCGCGCACATTCCGAAGCATTTCCGGAGTGATTCGACGGCATTCCTCGACGATTCTTTGACGCAAATCTTTCAGTGACGCTGGCTGTGTTTTATAGATTTTATATTTTAGGTATCACCATAAAAAGAAATCAAGGTGCGATAAATCCGGTGATCGTGGAGGCCACTCAATGCTGCCTTTTCTCCCAATCCAATTCCGTAGAAAACGTTGGTCCAAATACTGACGGACAATTAACGCATAAATGCGGAGGAGCACCGTCCTGTTGAAAAATCAAATGATCTTCATCATACTATGGAACATTTTTAATAATATCAGTTAATGCAGGGTCAATAGCGTCTTCCAGTAATTGTAAATACATCGAAAATTCACCGAAAATTCCAGCCCATACATTTAATTTTTCCGGTTGCTGTGTATGCACCTCGTAAAAAACTCTTGAGTTTGAATGGGACCAATAGCGGCAATTGTGACAATTTGCAGTCCCGTTCAAGAAAAAACTGCATTAATCAGAAAAACAGATGTTAAAAAGGAACTGTGGATCGTTCCCTGCTCGCTCACTCATTATTTCGTAAAATTCGTCCTCAATGCCATTTAAATATTTTGGGGTGATGCTTGGGGGTGAAAGTGGCGGAGTCAAAAATACCAGCAAAGAATGTCCCCCTTTAATCTAAAATCGACGGGTCTGAGCATTTTTCTACAATCTTGACGCAGTTCCTGAAAATTGGCTCTGTTTCGTTTTCATTTGGCCACCCTGTATATTGAAATCATTAAACATTGTTGCAAACTTTCAAAGAAATTATTATATTCTTGTTTTCAACAGCTACAATATCACTTTGAACAACCATCAATACGAACTTTATCTAGTGTAACTAAATAATCTCTGCATTTTTAAGATTGCTTTTTCTAATAAAATAAAATAAAAGCTTTTAGTTCTAAGTCCAAAGTTATTTTTATTGTAAGAGCGGTTACCTGATATCCTTTATATTTAATAAGTTCTTTAAGTCTATCCACTATATAAAAGTATTTCTCGTCATCATAATATGCCAGATCGCCTGTTTTAAGCCAACCATCAGAGGTGAACGTCTCTGTTGTAGCTTTTTCGTTGTTGTAGTATCCTATCATCACCAAAGGACCTTTAATACATATCTCTCCGACCTGATTAGGACCTAAGGATTTCCCCGACACTGGATCTTGTATTTTCATTGCCATATGATTCATGACTTTTCCAGACGAACCTTCTCTTTGTTTTCCCTTTTCTATCATTGTGATAGTCAATGTGGCTTCGGATAAACCATAGCCTTGTCTAAGCGTCTTTAGATTGATCAGTCTAAAAAAGATTAGTAAACATCAAAAGAGATTGTCTTATTAGAAGAAAATAACTGTTCGCTCCTATCAACAAGTCTTTGTCTAATGTTTATGACTCGCTTTTTTAGTTATACCTTCCTTATTTTTTGAGATCTATCAAACTACTTTAATTCTTATGGATGAAATTTGTAAAAATGTACATGACGTTCTATTAAAAATCAAAAGTGTGTTTACTACCTCCGAAATTCAACATTCATTCATTTGTCTGAGCACGACCGGTCGATAGACGTACGGTTTAAGGCTTCAGTACTTAAATCGATTAGTACTAATTCTGCCCGGGTTCGATTCCAGCGGCCGGTAGACCGTAGATTAGCTATGATTATACGGAGGATTGGCACCCTCTATGCAAGTATGGTAGGGTTGCCTTGGGCCAATATGAGAGATTTACACCGGTTGGCATTTGACTACCCCCTTAATTAATGAGGTTTTCCAGGTTTCCCTCATTCCTGCACTGAATGGTGGTTAGGGCCTACCAACATAAGTCGTTCCTGGGCGCAAATGCAGCCTGCTTAATAATGGTAATATGCCGCCTCCTCCCCCGCACAAGTCCACCAAACAGCAGTAGATTACCGATCCGAAGCGGCTGAGGTAGCAACTCCTAGACGCGGAGTAAGTTGCGATAATGGAAAGACAAATACAGAACTCCAACCTACATCAGACCACGCGACCATTTCTTTACGATTTTTTGGCCGAGTGTCTCCTAAAATGTTGCACTGCTAATCCTAACCTAACATTAAAAATTCACCACCCCAATTGCAGTTAGTCACATCCGTGGCCAAGACATGATTGCCCCCAGTGGGTCAGACGAATCGGCAAAGAAAGAACAGAAGATGAGCTCCTGTCGGCGAGACCCAGCTGGAACAGGAGGAGGCCCCACGTTGGTCGTGTCAGCGGTCGGAATTGATGAGGCGTCCGGACCTACAGCGATAGCAGCGGGTAAAGAGCGATATTACCGCTCGGCCTCGCTCCATTCTTGGTCATTTATCCTGCCATGAATATTGGCACGATATCGTGTTTATTTACTGGATATTTTTCCATGCGACTACAACTACAAGAGTTTTAGTTTGGAGACCGGGGATGATGAAAATCGGTCTGTCTCAGGCTAATTTTTATTAGAACATACTATATACACCCTTAACTAGAAAAGAAAAATAATAATTATTGCTACCTTTTTCTTATTGCATTCTCTGTGTGCTTGCTAAGCGGCGCTGCTCCACATATAATATCCTCAATGCAGGATAAATCGTATTTTAAAACTTTCGGACTCTTCTCCAAGAAAACTGCTAGAGGCGGAGCAAGGGACAAAGTACCTATTTTATAGTCTTGTATAGATTTTAAAAATATGTCTTCATCAAATCTTTTCATAACTATAACTTTATCTTTATTTAATAGTGCCCCTAAAGTAACATTTAATCCAAAACCGTGGAAAAATGGCATAAGTCCCAGGTCTGCTTTCTTCATAAAGTAATAATCAGATATCCTAGAAAAAGAAATTTACTATTTTTCTTCTTATTTTTAATACAAATTAGACATTTACAAAAAATTAAGTAACATTAGAGACATTTGATATTTCACTTTAAGAAATTCTCATTCTGTAGGTGATTAAAAGTGTGCTGTAATTGAAATTAAAATTTTCAAATTCAAAAACACTTCTATAATACTAAAATTATTTGAATGTTGTTATCGAAAATTTTTAGTTTTTTCTCTTTAGTTACTTATGAGACACTCTGAAACCCTATTGAATTTTACTTGCTCTGTACATCATAGAACATAAAAAAAATAAGAAATTCCATGGCACGAAATATTAAAAGGACTATACATATATTTTAAAAAATATGAGTTGATGATAATAACGTTAATAATGGACAACAAGGATAGAGTGAATATGCCTGAGATAATATATTTTACCAAAAGTCTGATAACAAATATTGCAAGCTGTAACTCCTTAAAAATTAGCTTTAATAGCTCGAAAGTACTAAATATTGAGACATCAATTTTGTCATGGTAAATTATCAATTTATTTTAAATNTCATTATCATCATCATTATTATTATTATTATTATTATTATTGTTTTGAAATTACAAGAAAATTTAGTAGCTTGAGTTTGGCTACCATCTCGTCAAAGAGGATATACAAATAAGAGAGATTTCACTTCATTCATAATCGTGGATCATATTTTATCTTTTTCTAATACGCGCAAGTCACAAAGACTTTGAACCGAATTTTGTTGTCGGGCTCAACTTTTAGTAAAATTTGTAATTTAACGGCTTTGATTTTATCAATCACCTATGCCACATTTTCTGTCTCTGCAACTGTGCCGTACAGTGAGTGAAATTGAAAATATTCGAGTATCTGAGATCAGTTGTATCTATGGTGCCAGATGGTTTAGCCAATGAGTAAACAACAAACCATACGAACACGAATTTTAGTACAAGTTGCGCGTGACAACAAAAATTCGGTTCAATATCTTTGTGCCTTGCGCATGTTAGAAAAAGATAAAATATGATCCACGATTATGAATGAAGTGAAATCTCTTATTTGTATATCCTATTTGGTGAGGGCGAAGCTTTATCCGCTCCTGCGCAAGAACAGCCGTCTTAACCTGTGAAATAAGCTGACTCTCATCAGAACTGTACTGGAACCACAGTTGATGTAAGCTGATGGTACAGAGAAATGTCGCACTTCGTTGTGAGACAGGGGCTCCATGGTTCGTTTACAACAGCCACATTCGCAGAGATCTGGGATTCACGTCAACTCTGCGCCGAACTCCACAGCAACCAGCAGAACCAAACAGCAGTAGATTACCGATCCGAAGCGGCTGAGGTAGCAACTCCTAGGCGCGGAGTAAGTTGCGATAATGGAGAGACAAATACAGAACTCCAACCTACTCCCAGACGCGGGGTAAGTTGTGATAATGAAGAGACACATACAGAACTCCAACCTACATCAGACCACGCGACCGTTTCTTTACGATTTTTTGGCCGAGTGTCTCCTAAAATGTTGCACTGCTAATCCTAACCTAACATTAAAAATTCACCACCCCAATTGCAGTTAGTCACATCCGTGGCCAAGACATGATTGCCCCCAGTGGGTCAGACGAATCGGCAAAGAAAGAACAGAAGATGAGCTCCTGTCGGCGAGACCCAGCTGGAACAGGAGGAGGCCCCACGTTGGTCGTGTCAGCGGTCGGAATTGATGAGGCGTCCGGACCTACAGCGATAGCAGCGGGTAAAGAGCGATATTACCGCTCGGCCTCGCTCCATTCTTGGTCATTTATCCTGCCATGAATATTGGCACGATATCGTGTTTATTTACTGGATATTTTCCCATGCGACTACAACTACAAAAGTTTTAGTTTGGAGATCGGGGATGATGAAAATTGGTCTGTCTCAGGCTAATTTTTATTAGGACATACTATAAACACCCTTAACTAGAAAAGAAAAATAATAATTATTGCTACCTTTTTCTTATTGCATTCTCCGTGTGCTTGCTAAGCGGCGCTGCTCCACATATAATATCCTCAATGCAGGATAAATCGTATTTTAAAACTTTCGGACTCTTCTCCAAGAAAACTGCTAGAGGCGGAGCAAGGGACAAAGTGCCTATTTTATAGTCTTGTATAGATTTTAAAAATATGTCTTCATCAAATCTTTTCATAACTATAACTTTATCTTTATTTAATAGTGCCCCTAAAGTAACATTTAATCCAAAACCGTGGAAAAATGGCATAAGTCCCAGGTCTGCTTTCTTCATAAAGTAATAATCAGATATCCTAGAAAAAGAAATTTACTATTTTTCTTCTTATTTTTAATACAAATTAGACATTTACAAAAAATTAAGTAACATTGGAGACATTTGATATTTCACTTTAAGAAATTCTCATTCTGTAGGTGATTAAAAGTGTGCTGTAATTGAAATTAAAATTTTCAAATTCAAAAACACTTCTATAATACTAAAATTATTTGAATGTTGTTATCGAAAATTTTCTATTGTGTTACTAGTTTTTCTCGTCATTAGTTTTTTTCTCTTTAGTTACTTATGAGACACTCTGAAACCCTATTGAATTTTACTTGCTCTGTACATCATAGAACATAAAAAAAAATAAGAAATTCCATGGCACGAAATATTAAAAGGACTATACATATATTTTAAAAAATATGAGTTGATGATAATAACGTTAATAATGGACAACAAGGATAGAGTGAATATGCCTGAGATAATATATTTTACCAAAAGTCTGATAACAAATATTGCAAGCTGTAACTCCTTAAAAATTAGCTTTAATAGCTCGAAAGTACTAAATATTGAGACATCAATTTTGTCATGGTAAATTATCAATTTATTTTAAATGGATTGATGTTTTTTATGCTACCTGGCAGAAATTTTGTATTATTGATAATTGTGTTGCCCTTTTCTACCCACTGAGTAAAATCTTACCTAGAATGTGCTATCCTAACCATTATATTGAGATGTGATAACAACACTCCCTTTGGCAACCCTGTAGTACCAGAGGAACATAATATAAATGCACCAAGATTCTCTGTATCATCAACAAACGGTCGAAAGTTGTACGGCAGAACCGTTCTGCCCTTAAGACTATTAAATACATATTCTTTCAAAGTTTCAGTTTGGGGATTTCCAGACACTGTTAAATTTGAGTCGATAATAATTATTTTATCTATAAATCCCAACTCGAGTTTCAGTTTAACAAATTTATCCACAACTTCTGATGAACAGAATACTACTTTCGGCTTACTGATGTTTAAGGTATGGTTCAGTTCTGTCTCAGTATAACTGTGATTGATAGGGGCAACTATACAGCCTATAAGAAGCGATGCTAAAACGGGAATGAAAAACTCTAGGTTATTTTCACTGCTTACTGATATTACAGTGCCAGGTAAGCACCCGTAATTACGAAGAGCTTCCGCTAAGTTGCACACTTCTTGCAATAAGGTTTTGTAAGACAATTTCCTTCCAGTAAACGCATCTTCCTGAAAATAAAAGAAAATATGATATTCACTACTTTCTTTAATTACTTGGATATTTCTGCAGAGATAAAAGAGATAAATAACCTTTTATTTTAAAATGTTTATTTAAGTAGTTAATTGTTTAAAACTATTTTTGGCCGTTCAGAAAATTTCATCCTTGATTAGATTAAACTGAAATTATAAAAAGTAGGTACTAAAAATGTGACAAGTGAATACTGAATATTATTAGTTATTATAGTTACTATTTTTTTTTAATTAACCTAAATTAAAATTGTTAGAAAGTTCATATCAACATGTGACCGAAAAGGCCCCCCTGTGGCGCTGTGCCCCTTTAAAGGGGGCCATTAAGACACAATTTTATTACAATATATCGAAAACGCTTCGAAATAAATTGATAAAATTCTCCACTGAGAACTCTTAGATAGAGATGAAAGAGAGAATTAACCCTCTACGAGAACGACGAATATAGCTAATTACCGTAACTTTGACGTTCTCTAACTCGAAAACTATGGGTTTTTGGACCTCGTGCTTATTGGAGCTTTTGATCAGCACATCAAGAACAACAATATTCTGAAGTTTCAATGAATTTGACCGGGATCCAATTTCCATAAGAATTATGAGGGGTCCTTTGACGAACATATGGAATGTGAGTGGGATAAGAACTATAACCTCCCATTGCGGCCTTGACTATACAGGGTGATTCAGTCACCCTGTATAGTCATTAATTTTAAGAGGAGATAGATAAAAATGAGTATAATACGATGGCTTGATTAAAAAAAAAATTAATGCATATTTAAGCTGAAAGAAAAAATTCAAATCATTATTTAACCCCCTTTTCAGGCTGTTACTGATCGGTTATAATTATGCAATCAACATATTAAATTGTTATTGTTGCCCAGCAAGAACCGCGAAGAGGTCTGAGCATGCCTTGCCAAAAATCAGTTTTTATTAACATCATAATCATTTTTAGGAGGTGTATGATGAACCATTTCAAATTTAAAATGAAATTGAATGTAAAATCTGAAATACCGCTGCATACGCACTATGTTCTGGTAGTAGCTGTAGTAGCCCAGGTGCATCGAGTGTACGAAGTGGTCGGTTATACGTCAAATACTAACCTGGCGAGCTTGGTCGTAAATCAGAGAGCGCCTCCAAAAAACAAGTAAACAACAGTGGCGCGTACAAAGGTAAAATATAATACATATGTACAAACATTTCTGTCTCGATACATGATAAAAAGATATTTTACCTTAAATATTGCGATAACAATTGTTATTTTTATTTATTCATTAACGTTGATGCTAAAACAACAAATGAATAGGGATGATTGTTTTCGAATGTACGGTTATTACAATTTATCATTTTTAATATTATTTTTGTTTTCATCAGGTTTTATAATTTATTCTGTTAAATAATACACAGTTTTAGTATTATGTTCAATTTATTATTCAATATGCAGTTGCGTATAACCAAAGTTTACATAATACATATAAACTTTATTGTAAATGTAAACTTTGGTGTAACCTAGGTAGGCACTTATTGTTTATGAGAAAGTAATATGTTTTTTACCTGTTTAAAATGCCAGCACGAGCACTGCATTAATCCGTCCAGAGCACTTTGTTAATAAAGTTAAGTTCTGCTGCACTTCGATTTAGGAACCAAATGCAAAATTCAAGACGATTGGGGAAATCAGCTGGTTCTAAAGCTTGAACTTTTTGAAAATGGTACGGGTTGAGTGAATTCTCGCGCAATATCCGCCATACTTTGGTTTGTGATATCTCCAATCGTCTTGAAATTGTTCTTGTGGCTGCTCCTCCACTAAATTTAAAACAGCTTCTATCACATTTAAGTCATTTTGTCGATGTGCACGTTCTCTGCGCGTATGATAGACCCTGTGTCACGAAGACGTTGAACGGCTTGCACAATTGTCCGTGGGCTTAGGAAGTTCTGTCTATCACGGAAACGTGTCCGATAATCAATTGCAGCGGCATTTGCGTTTTGTACACACTCTCCGTATAAAATCACCATATCAACATATTCGGCATTCGTATACAAAGCCATCACGACCGGCACTTTAAACAAACCGAAATAAACTAACGGTTTCGTGTGTCTTTCCCATCCACATCCATCTGTATGGTGTGATGTTCACTCCTTTGCGAGAAAAATGCGGGAGATATGGAGGGTGGTAGATTTGAATAAACGCTTTAAATTGTTAATGGTTTTGTAACCGTGTGTAGTGTATTTTGTATATTTGGGTATTTAGTGTGCCGACTTTTTTTATTTGATAAAATACGGTGTGCCTACAAACCTCTGCTTTATTTATTTTCTTATAACGAAAGTTGACTTCGAGATGTCAGGCTTGTTAAAACATTTTGCACAAGTTAATACAATTGTTAAAATTATTTATAATAAAATACAGCATGGCTCCCTTATTTACTTGCATTTTATTGGTTTCGTACATGTGTATACGTATACTAAAGCGGATTAAGTGGATACGTTTAACGCGAAACCCAAAGTAAATGTGAACCATGATTATGATGTGAACTTATAGTACGATCATATTCGATGCAAAGTAATAAATCATTGCCTGTCAAGGGAACCAATGAAGTACGCCTTTAAGGGTTTTACAAATTGAATAATTTCTTTATACATTATGAAGGGACGAGGGGATCAGTTCAGGTCTGGCACCCTTGTTGCTACAAAAATTCCTTTATTCTCATAAACTATTTATTTTAAATGTAATTTATTATAAATCCAATTTGTTTCCTAAATTCCACATATGTACTACATTTTACCTCTGTACGCGCCACTGTTGTTTACTTGTTTTTTGGAAGCGCTCTCTAATTGACGGCAAAGCTCGCCAGGTTAGTATTTGACGTATAACCGACCAGTTCGTACACTCGATGCACCTGGGCGACTACAGCTACTACCAGAACACAGTGCGTATGCAGCGGTATTTCAGATTTTACATTGAATTTCATTTTAAATTTGAAAAGATTTATCTTACGCCTCCTAAACATGATGACACGATTTTCCTTTGATAAAAGGCCGACAATTTTTTGCTCTACTTTGCATCGTATACGATCCTACTATAGCAACGCTGTTCGCTTCAGCTGACGATTTATTCGTGACATTACGTTACAAAATTTTCCGAGTATCCGTGCATCTGGCCGGACCGCCCTCTTAGCGGAAGTTATGTGTTGATTTCCTTAATTTTTAAAAGTTGAATAAAAAAATTTTTTTTTCCGATTTTCTGTCTTTATTATTCCTTCCGAATACATGGTTAAAATTAATGACAATATGACTGAATCACCCTTTATTAAATATATTTATACAAAATCTGATCCGTCACTGATTCAAAATTATTTAAATAGTTGCAAATATAACTGACCTTTGCTTAGTTATTCAAATGAATTTAAATAATATTCCAATATTTGTACACCGTTTCAAGCAAGGCAATAATGAACATTCGCTAATTTAGTTAATTTTCAATTTGTTTATTATTTCTAACAAGTATTGGCATGTTACCTCCATGAAGATAAAACGAAAAAAAACATCCTTATCAGTATCATTCAATTTATACGACCATTTGTATTTAGTAGTTCCATCGTTAGAGAGAGTTTTATTTATCGTGTAACGCCGCTGTTGTTAGCTTTGTTTTGGTTCCGACAGAGAACGGTTCTAGAACGGTTCAAATCATTTAACCATTCCATTCATAAGAACATCTAAGCCAAGACATACTGGGGACATACTGACAATATACTTGGGTAACTATATTGAACTGTTTCCGAGACTGTCCGTTGACAGAACCAAAACAAGCCGTTAGTATCGCGTACAGGATGTATAATTGGCCTTTCGAGATACGAGATGATAAAATTTAAAAAAAAATTCGTGCCAAAACAACAATTGAAGTGATTTTTTTCAAAACTGATAAGTACTTTTAAGTTTATGATTGCCACAATTGAATGTAAATTTCAGTTCTTTTTTCAAGTAGAAAGTGGATATCTAAACGACCCCGCACAAACCTTATGGAAAATGGCTTTCGGTCAAAATGGCTGAAATTGAAATATGATATAGCTCTCACCTTCCTGAGCAAAAGTTGTCATGGGCCCAAAGCGATCCTATGTGTAGGTTTAAAGACATAGAGCTTTGAAGCTAACAATTTCATAGCACGGTGCTGAATATTAAGTGCAGGATAGGTGTATGTATATCTCCCTTTCTCCGTATATACAGGTTGAGTCAGTTTTTTGTAGACAAACTTTAACAGGAGATAGAACACATGTTTTTAAAAAGAAGTTCCTATAAACATATGTCGTAGAAGGGCTTCGTTTCCGAGATACGGGGTGTTGAATATAATTTATTTTTCTCGAATATTCATTATAACTTATAAACGAATGGTTAGATTTTTTTCATGTTTGGGAGATAACGCCTATTAACTAAGGGGCATAAAACAAGCGATAAAAATGTTCAAAAACTTGCAGAGTGGCGGAGTGGAGGGGGTGCTCAACCCTTTTCTTAAACAGAACTTTTACGCCAATGACTATTTTTAAAAAAACTGTTATTTTTTTATCTACATATAGTTTAACAAAAATAATGTCCATTCTTCTGTCTCGAAATTGCTGTGCGTTTCCGAGTTATTTTGATTTTTGGTGTTTGTTGTGATACTAAATTAAGTAATTTATTTATTATAAATTATCGGCTAAATATTTAATTCTTTCAACAAAACCTACCTAAATATGGTTTGTTAAGGATTCTAAAAAGCTGAAATCTCTTATTCTTTTATCTCTTTCCAATGTAGTCAAAATAAATATTTGTTATATCAAGCTATACTCAAATACAAGACTTTTATAAGTTGAAATCTGTTACATTACATACATACAATACATTATTGTGCAGTTGCTAAAAAGTTTTAAGAAGTTGTTAATTAAATATTGTTATAAATTCAAAAAATTTCTCCATAAACATTAACATCAATGTTCATTCAATGTTTTTTTTTTTAATTT